TTTTTGCCGCAAAACAAAGAATTTATTGTATCCATACAAGATCTTCAAGAACAGAATCAACACACAGAATCACATCGAAAGTAATTATGGCACTGCATGTTACTTTAGACAATCCCCTGCCTCCTTGCCATCGATTTTATATGTTCGTGACATCTACTTTGCACATGGGTATGCCAAGTTATATGCATTATGTTGTTTGGTTGCTTTTGCAAATAACATCGGTCCTCCGAACAACTGAATCGATCTCGAGTGCTCCAGGACAGATGGGCAATCCGTACTGGCTGGCCAGCATGCGGCAGCAGGCATTGCCGCGGGGGTGACATCCGTGATATTCTTGAATTCAGTAAGTGTTGTAGTCCAATCCTCTGACTGAGGTGGAACATGATTTATGTTGAACATTTCAGGTAAAAACATGCCTCAAGCTACATCCAGGACTACACGGGAAAAAAAGAACCAAGAATCAGTTGTGCTACAATTACCCTGAGCTGCACCACGGGCCTAATGAGGCCTAACTGCCTACCGATACGATATTAAAAAGTCCAACAAATCAATACCTAATACACATGAATTCAGATAAGAAAGAAACTGATCAGCAAGTACAACTGTCACATGTCTTCATTATATTTCACACCTTGAAACCTTTGGCTTTTGAACATCCTTGAAAAATGGGGCCTCCACAACATTGGTTTATCATATTATTGTGGTGTCCCCACGGCATCAAGTTACCACTATAGCTGGTAACCAGTGGTTCCAAAGACTAACACCATGGACCTAGAATCCCTGGTTCCTTATATAGTGGTAACTGGGATGCACTGGGGTCCCTTTCAAACATGTTTGAGCATCATACTTACTTGTCTATTCTCAGGAAACTGACGGTGTAGACTGTAGACATTTAAGCGATGACCATGCTAAGCCGTCCGAAGTTCACTTATGTTCGATCCAGTTTTGATGCACCCCTGCAGAACATTGCAGAATCATGGGTTGATAAAGTCATTAAGCACACCAAATTCGACCAAGAAAGAGGATCCCAGGTCCTTTCGATACTTCTCATCACAAACACACACAGAGAAACTGGATCCTTCTGTATCGTAGGTCTTCTACCTCACGAGGTGTTGATTCCGAGCCCCCAGCGAATCGGGTCTCTGAAGGCCGCGCGAATGGAACAACCCTTGCGTCGAAAAAAACAAAGGAAGAGGGAAAGCGGGGGTGACCTTTTGGAACAGCCTCCGAGTGGGTCAGAAATCATGACGCGTGTTTGATTTCATGTCGAAAATGAGATGTTTTTTCGAAGGGATCCGCAGGATGATCCGCACGATGGTGTCCAAAAGTGGATGGCTCAAATCCAGGAACACGGGCTCAGTTCTCAGCCCACACTCCGGTTTGATCAGCAGAAAAGAGGGCAATCCTTTTGCGATCTTCAAACGGTTACTTTGGATGAACTCAACTATAGGGAAACCCTCAAACAATTCAGGAGAGGGAGAAAAAGCCGACTTGTCAAAGGAAATGACCACTAGTTGCCGCCCATCCTATCGTCCTTGTTCAAATCAATCTGCTCATGTTCCGCGTCTACTCGGCGGTCTCCGGCGAGCTGCTCACGGAAGTGGTTGAGTTCGAAGGCAAGCCGATCAAAGAGTTGAAGAACGACATTGCGAAGGAGGTCGGAGCGTCGAGGTTTCGACAGAGATGGTTTCATGAAGATCGCAGCGAGCTCAAAGATGAGGATTTACCTCCTCAGAGTGTGCAGCTGGTCATTTTGAGCTTTGTTTCGCCTGAATTTGCGCACGACCAACTGATAGCAGTATGTGTGGAGAATGACTTTGACAAAGCTGAAGCATTGCTGCGCCAGCCCATCACTCCAGAGGCTGAAGATGAAGATGGAATGACAGCCCTGCATTTGGCAGCACAGCGCGGCAATTGGCAATGCGTGGGTTTGCTGCTTGAAGCCTGTGCCATGACCGATAAGAGCGACACCTGTGGTAGCACAGCCTTGCATTTGGCCGCCGAGAATGGCCATGTGCAAGTCGTACGCCTCTTGCTGAATGCCGGAGCCGGCAAAGACAAGGTGACGGGTGATTGGGAAACCGCCTTGCATTTGGCAGCCAAAAAGAACCATCTGGAAATTGTGAGGCTGTTGCTGCAGGCAAAGGCTGACAAAGACAAGATCACCAAAGAATGGAAGACAGCTCTGCATTTGGCAGCCAAACGGGGCCGCGAGGAAGTTGTAAGGCTCTTGTTGGATGCCGGGGCACACAAGGACAAGGTCACCAACCACTGGAAGACCGCTTTGCATTTAGCGGTTGCCAATCGTCACCTCAGCGTCGTTCGGCTCTTGCTTGATGCAGGTGCTGACAAAGACAAGGTCAACCACGATGGGGAGACCGCTTTGCATTTGGCTGCTGAGAATGGTGATCAGGAAATGGTGCAGCTGTTGCTGGAGGCTGATGCCGACAAAGAGAGGGTCACCCGAAAATGGAGGACCGCCCTTCATTTGGCTGCCGAGAATGGCGTGAAGGAGGTTGTGGGGCTGTTGCTGGATGCTGGAGCTGACCGAGATAAGGTCACAGGCAAAGGGGAGACAGCTTTGTTGTTTGCGGCTGAACATGGCCACCACGACAGTGTGCAGCTGCTGTTGGAGGGTGGGGCAAACAAAGACTTGGGGACCAGAGCAGGGAAGACGGCCTTGCATTTGGCCGTCGAGATTAACCACTTCAGCATGGTGCGGCTGCTGCTCGATGCTCGGGCCGACTATGACAAGGCGACCATCACCGGGGAAACTGCTTTGCACGTGGCGGCCAAAGGAAATGGCATGGCATTGGTGAGGCTGTTGCTGGATGCTGGGGCCAATCGGGACCTTGTGACCACCGCATGGGACACAGCCTTGCATTTGGCCGTCAGACTCAACCATGATGGAGTTGCACGTTTGCTGTTAGAGGCGAAGGCAGACAAAGACAAGGTCACGAGTGATTGGGAAACGGCCTTGCATTTGTCCAGCGAGAATTGCAATCCTGAATTGGTCAGACTATTGTTGGAGGCTGGGGCTGACAAAGACAAACCCAACCGAAGGTGGCAAACTGCTTTGCATTTAGCGGCTGAGAATTGCCACCATGAGGTGGTGCGGCTGTTGCTGGATGCTGGGGCTGACAAAGATCAGGTGACCATCAAAGGGGAGACGGCTTTGCATTTGGCAACCCAACATGGAGATCAAGGAATAGTTCGTTTGTTGCTGGAAGCCTCTGCAGATCAAGAGAAGGTGATGCATTGCGGTCTGACAGCTTTGCATTCGGCAGTGATTAAAAGGCACCTTCAAATTGTGCGCTTGTTGGTTGAAGCTCATGCTGACACAAACATCGCCAATGATGAGGGGAATGCTTTGCATATCGCAGCTGTGCATGGGGATCAGGAGGTGGCTCGGCTGCTGTTGGATGCTGGAGCCAACAAAGACACGGTCACCGACGACGGAGATACCGCATTACATTTGGCAGCCAAGAAGGGTCACTTGGAATTCATCCGCGTGCTGCTTCGCGCAAGGGCTGACCAAGGCAAGATCACCCGTGATGGGAAGACTGCCTTACACTTGGCGGCTTTGAACTGCGACGTTCAGCTTGTGCGCTTCTTGCTTGATGCAGGTGCTGACAAAGACCAGGTCACCCCGGATGGGGAGTCGGCGCTCCATTTGGCCGCCGAGGAAGCTGACCAAGAAGTGGTGAGGCTGTTGCTACAGGCCGGCGCGGACCCCGATTTGACCACTGCTTTGGGGAAAACAGCTCTGCATCTGGCCGCGGAGGAGGGTGACCTGGAAGTGGTGCGGCTGCTGCTGGAGGCGCGAGCCGACTGTGACAAGGTCACTTTTATGGGGGAAACAGCGTGTAGCTTGGCTGCGGGCCATCCGGAGATCTTGCGACTGCTGCGCAAAGAGAAGTTGGATGGAGCAGGTCCAAAGGAGACTGCGAACAAACGACAAAAGACTTGAAAATTGAGCTGAACGCATCAGGAGGGTTCTGAGAACTGCTTCGAGCCTAACATGGCGACAGTTTCGTGAGTTTGTTGATTGAGATGTTGTAGATCCTGCTACTTCAAAAGAATCCTTTGGATCCTTTGGTTTTCAAGAGCTAATTCCCACTTATGGGTTGATGCTTTTAGATGGGGCATGCCTAGTCTATTTACTATTGGCTGAAGTCCCGGTCGTGAAGGCATACCATCAGACTACTTGGCACACCGCATTCCTATAGGTCCTAGGACTTCAACAACCATGGCACCAAAACATGTTTTGGGCCACCTCCAAAGAGAATTCATGACCTCACTGTAGCTTCACTCCTTGATGACTCCAGTCAGGGGAACCGGTGACCTCGATCCCGACCGCTTCTCCGGCGCAGGGCCCGTGACCGAACGCCCGAACGCCGCGGCGACGGAGAGGACGCCGAAGAAAAGGAGTCAAAAGGTCGGAGGTGTGCGGTCACATGTGCGGATGGGGTGAATTTCAGCTGGTGAGGGTAGGGGTTTGGATTGGTCATTCCTGTGGGAGTTGGATTGGTCCATGGGCACCATGGGCGCAAGAACCAATAGGCGATAGCCACTTGGTCGGTCACGCGGTCACGTGGAGTCGGGGTCAGGTTGGTCGCGGTGTCACAGTAAGAGCAAGAAGATGGGTGTTTTGTGAAACTTGTGAAGCTCATGTGCAATATATGGTGCAATTCATAATCACCATAGAGATCCATAGAGTCACTAGGGCCGGGGCCAGGATGCCAAAAGCAAAACAAGTGTTGACCAAGAGGTGCAACAATGTTCGATGTCGTCCCAAACGTCTTTAGATGAATAGGAAAGGGAAAGGGGTGTACAATGGTGCACATCGCACTGGTGAATCATGTCCCAGTCGATGGGCTTTTGAACTTGGGCTCTTGGCTTTCTCGATCGGAGTCTTAATTGAAAGAACAGCAAGACCTGAGCATAGGTCAAGACCTTGGGCTCTTCTCTGAGCCTGAGTCTTCTTTGACGTCTTTCTTTTTCGGCTCAGAGCATAGGCTGTCAGAGCATTTGCCCCGATCCAGAGTCAAGATGGAGGAACCGGCGGCCAAGAAGCAAAAAACCGAGGAGACGCCCCTTCCGGTCCATCGCGGCACCGGATCCGGTCTGCCGGTCGACCTGTTTTGGACGTCCGATCCGACTGACTCAACGACCAGTGCAGTCGACGGAGATCATCGCACGTTGACCGAAGTAGCTGTCGCTGGGTCTCGAGATGTGGAAAGAATTGGTTCCGTCGTCCCCTGTCGTCCACGAGTGATGCAGGTCGGTGTCTTTCCCCTTCAAACCCAGACTTATTATATCTTATTATTATATGATCGAGACTGATTAGACCATTTCTTCCTGGCTGGACACTGAAGAGATACACAAGAGAGCCCAATCCACACTCCCCCCCCCGTTGTGAGCGGGTGAGACCATCGTGGCAGCTGCTGTGGTTTCTTTTCAGGAGGGACATGGAGGTTTCATCACCCAAGGAGTCAAGAAGCGAAGGCATACGGAAACACATGCTCATTGATGTTGCAACTTACTGTGTTTCGTTTGTACCGGAATCCAAACAGTATCATGATATACGTTCCACCTCGGGTCTCCTTGCTTTCAACCACGTCAAAGACATAATATGCTGAGTCTATTGTGTTTTCTGCTTTTCCCGCAAAAAAAACTCAAACTTTCGCCCCGCCCCCCCCCCCAAAAAAAGAACCCGCCCCCCACCCCGCTGCGGAACCAGGAGGCTCCGGCGGAAGAGGCCGTGCCGGCGGTGCCTGCGGAGCCCGAGGAGAAGGAACAGGATGCCGTGAGGCTCAAGGGAGATCGATTGAAGGAACCAGTGCCTCGGGCGATGGTGTGGGCCGAGGGGTTGGAGTGAAGGAGTGAAGGATGAGATCACCCAGGACCGGCCCAGAAGGTGTCGAGGTGACGGGTAAAGTGAGGAAAGAAGTAGCTGGACACTGGACATCTAGAATGGTGGGACATGTTGAGGGCTGAAGTGGGAAATGTTTGCATGTGGGCTGGACTCTACACTTGGGTTTGTAATGTGTTCACAGCGGGTTCGATCGAGGACAGTGAGAATTGAGAAGGTAGTTCTTGATCCACGTTCTTCCAGGTGATGGATGCTCCAGAGTTTTACGAAATGTTGTTTGGATGCACTAGTCTAGATGAACACGGAGGGTTCTGGACACAGTGACTTCTCCAGTGCCCCTTCTGCACCTGCACCCAATGTCGGGGACTTGTTGATGGCGTGAGTAACCTCATTCAAGACCTTTTAATTGTGGATTTTGGGGATTGGCGGGCAGCTGCTGTGTTCTTCTCGTTTGTGACATTTGATGAAATTTGCAACTCTTCTTAAACGAAAGCCCTGGCACAGCAGCTCACGTGCCAGCCTTGTTTTGAGGCTGCTGGACGATGTTCTAAACAAATGAAGGCAAGAAAAAACTTGAAAAGTCCTCAACTGACTTTTTCATCCCAAGGAGGTGGCCGGATAGTTGGGCCGCTTTTTCTGACGTTTGAGGACTGGTATACCCTGGCCATAGATGTGCTTTCCGGGCACCTTTGGCTGTGAATGACCTTCCCAGGTGACCTTCCATACCAACGACACCACCTTGAATGTCATGGTCTCGTCCTCGGGCTCCTCCACCTTGCTGATGCCGCTGTCGGATGGCCGCCCGGATGAGAGTGGGAAAAGCTCCGCTGCTGTCGTGGTTGGAGCACGAGGAAAGCAACTTCACCACAGAAAAGAACAGATTCGTTGGCCAGCATGGACAATATGTTGTATAACATAGGTTCATTCTGGTTTCTCAAAATCTACTACGTTTGTTCTGAAAGACAAAGTAATATATGTGTTTAAAGCATTTTACCCGCTCTTGGTCTCATGTCACATGTCGTTGTCACATGTCGCGTTTTGGATTGGACAACTGCTGCACACCACAACACCCAAGGTGGCATCCGACACCTTTTGGCAGGTGCGCGAGCCAGCGTGGGCTTGAAGGCGGGAAGATATCTCTTCGAGGCCAAAGTCCTCGAGACGCTGGGCGGCAGATCGTTCAGTGGAAGGAAATGCTTCCAATGCAGTGGAATGGCCTGGTGTTTTTTCTTTTTTCTTTTTTACTCGTAGATTCATAATTGCTGCTATCTTACTGAGGTTATTCCGGGGCCGGATCCATGATTCATAGATCAGTTGTTTAAAAAAGAAACGCATTTAGCTACAGAGTTTTGAGATGGACGAGCATGATGTGGCACCAGGTACATAGAGGGGAGTCCGTTCAAACTTTGTTCAGGTGCTGAGCATTCTCCACCTACGGTTGATAGGTTTTGTATGTTTCTGTTTCTTTTTTGTAGACTGACGTAAGAAGTATTCTCCTAAGCATTACTGGGCTAACAACCAGTGAGCACTGTGGCCTGAGTCCATCCTGCCCTCCTGGTGCTCGTCGCAGAGTTCCTTCCGCTTCTCAGTCCGCTTCTCCCCCTTCACGGGTGGCACAGTAGCGGAGCCGAACCGTTTGGCGATCCAAGGCATGTGCAGCGACAAGAGGATGGCGCCAAGCCAACTCCCAAGCACGTGCCCTGCCAAGAAAGTTGGGGGAAGAAATGGATCGAAATCCCGGAGTCACAAAGGGATGCCAAACTTGGAGGGTTGGAGGATTGGAGGAAGTGCCACTGGAAGTGCCCATTTCCACTCACTGGATGGGACTAAAAACCAACCACCCAACCCCATGTGACTCCGGGATGTGTTGTTTTCTTCGAGGTGTTATCTTCGAGGGAAACAAGGCTAATTAGGGTTGGGTGAGCCAAGTAGGCCAAGTGCTGCAATTTCCCACCAACTAATCCCACCATTGGGCGAAGAAATGTTTGATTCTTCATGGTTGTGGACTGGAAGTTCTGATTCTCAACCAACTACGAACCATCGAACATCCCCTGCGAGTAGTAGGTAGCTGAACAAATCATCCGAATGTTTCAGGCGCGACGCGAGACGAAGACAAAGTGGCCCTGCATTCCTGGAGCGAGACCCTCCACCAGTGGTGGTGTTTGCTTCAACTGCTTGGGTCCCCTCGAAGTCGTCCTTCAACACGACTGGAGGACCCAAACGGAATCAATCGAGGTGACTCGACGAATCCACAGATGGGTCACCCATCACCCCAAAGCTCCAGAGGGGTGACTCCGGGGTGACGAGACGCGACTTCATCGAATCTGAGAGTGGTCGGGTCTCACCAAAAGACCTTTAAGTTGCCTTGCTCAGGAGGCACAAGAACCAGGGAAGACAAAGAGTAACCAGGGAAGAGCATGGATTTATACATATTTAGACCTTTTGTGGCCTTGGTTTTTTTGCAGAAGATCCCAAACGTTCTCTTTAAGACCGCTTCATTACTCTTTCGCCCTGCGCCGCCGGCCCAGATCCTCAGACTGGGATTTTCCACCAAAGACTCCCCGCTGCTCATGGGTGGAACTACGGATGTGTGCTTCGACATGGAGGGCTTCCTCATCCAGGAGAGGGCGGAGAGTGCGAGGTTTTGTTGTTCACGTTTTCGTTTCTTTTGTCATGTGTGATGGGTTCCTTTCCATGCGTGTTTGTGTGTTTCTTTCCGCATGCAGTGTGCTGCTTTCCAGAGTAAAGAAGAATGACGATATGGATCTATATGGTAAGCCAATTGAGTGATCCTGAAAAAGAGTGAACATTGATATTGAGTTGCACACACAAGTGTCCCAAGACATGTAAGTATAGTGTTTGATTTCGTTTTTCAACTGGGGATAGAGAGACAGAGCCAGAGCATGTATGTTTCTATCGGAGTCAACCAGCATAGGAATAAGGGTCATTAACAGAATGTGATTCCCAGGGCATCCAGTTACCACTATAGCTGGCTGGTAACCAGTGGTTCCAAAGACTAACACCATAGACCTAGAATCCCTGGTTCCTTGTTATATAGTGGTAACTGGGATGCAAATCTTCTCCGCACATGTTCCCGGCCTCCCCACTTTCCTCACTTCCCAGTGTTTGCTTCGAAAGCGCCGGGGACGCGAGTTCGAAACCATCCACCGCTTTCGATCGACCGAACTCGATGAACGATCCACCGGGAACGGCCCTAGCAAGTCGACCGGAAAAAAGCCACAAAGTATATACCCTCTCTGCAGATTGGACCCTGAAGACCACGTCGGGTGGTAGATGAGAATCGTCTAAAATGGGATCCATTTAGCCTTCATCCATGTCACTTGTCCAGTTCGGGTACCACCACCGCCCAGTTCGGGTGTGGTTGTTTACCAAAGGACCTCCCTGTGTCACCGCCCCCCTCATCACCCCCGAATCGAATGGATGTGTCACTGGGTGTAATTAAGGTGGGTGGGCTTATGGATTGGTCCATTCTTCGTGCCTTTGATGTGCGGAACATTCAGGAGGGCAAGAGGACTCCGCTGGGCGTGGGCACCAGATATGGCAAAGGTAGTCTCTTCGCCTGCAGGAAGTGGATTTCCCGACATGTCAGAGAAAACCCAGGATTTTTGTCTTGAGTTTTGATTTGTTTTGATCTTCAAAGATTGATTTGGGTTTTCTCTAAAAAACCCAACAACAATCTACATGATGTGGCTCCAGTGGGGTCCAATGGGCCCATTGGCATCGTGTGAAATCAGGTTTCTCCTGCAAGGTACCGAGCATGAGCATAGGGGGATATCGAGTCTCAGACCGGTCTGGAGTGAATAGTCAAGATACACACCCTGTCTCTGCACAGCAAAGATGAAAACTCAGAGCCTACATGAGCCTACTGTATTTGTTTGTTTTTAAGGAAGATATGTTATGACTTGTTATGATAACACAGACCATATGATGTCATTGTTTCTCTGGGCTCTCAAGAAGACCATTAACACCTCAACACCGCTTTGAACCCGGGATTCCATCTCACGCGCATGTGCGACTCGCACCCGGAGCAGCTCGGAAGCCCAACGGAGCCTCCTCCAGGTGTGGTGGGAGTGCTGCTGAACTTGGACAAGAAGAGTCCCAATGCGTCGCTTCTGCGGGCAGGGCAGTTGTTATACGCGTGGTCAACACGAAAACGCGCGGTGCGAACGGCTATTTCTGGTCGGTGTAAAGAACTACGGACATCTATATCAGATGATATCAGAATTCGTGAGGAGGTTGTCACACGCAAAAATGAAGGTCCAAAGCTACTTCGGATGTGTCCGGTAGACTTGGGGATGGAATCGGGGGGAGTCACATCAGGAGTTCAAAAAGTCCCTCTGGGGGAAGAGGATTTGAATATATATGGACGATGTAATAATGAAGCCCTTCTTGAACACGTATTGAAACTCGATGTTTTTCATGTTCTCTATTTGGGAACAGCTAACGCGGATGTCTCGCTTTATTCAACGCGGAGCTAGCTCTTTGAAGATTCCATTGAGCAGACTAGCTCTGTTTGCCATCTCCATGACTCCCGGCCATGGAAGAAAGGCACGCCCTAGGGATCCAAGTACCTCCCCAAACACCTTCTCAGAGGGTACTTGGATCCATAGGGACGTATATGTTAGTCATATATATGTCGGAGTCACAATCGTTTTGAGACACTTGATGAGCACATCCAAGGTACACCATCAGTTTGTTCAAAGATGGAAAGCGCGTCTGCCAGCCACAAGCTCTCCCAGATGAGTTGCACGGGATTCTTCAGCTGCATGGGAGGTATATGGGCTGGGTGTTTGTTTCTTTTCGTGGCCTAGTGCCAGTGTCGCGAGTACAGTTCAATGAAGTTCATGCTCGTTGGAGAAAGGTATACGGCCTGACAGGGTCGTTGATATTGTCAGAACAAAAGTGTCCTGTCATAAGTCAGTTCTGAGGTTGTCCTTCCAAATCCTTCCATTAATCTCAGGAGCCTACCCCTGGCTCTCTGGAGGTTTGCGGAAAAGATGTTCGAATCCCTGCTTTGCTCTTCGAATGTCCTGATGCACTGCCTCAGAACTGGTAATGTATATACCGCGTACACCTACTTGCGCCTGACCGAGTTGTATAAACTATTGCTACCTCCCTTTGCCCGGCCCAACCAAGATTGTCCTGCGTTGAACGACCTTTATAGAACGTAGCTTTCTGAATATATTATGTTCTTATACGTTCTGCGAACGAAACTACTGATCCACCTTTTTGGCATCCTCCTTGATAGACTCATGGGTGAAAAAGTAGAGAACCACCCATTTTGACTGGTGGCTCTTCCCTGGTTCTTTGCAGAACTTGGAGGCAAACACATCGCAGGAAGACCTATTGCTTGATCCTGCCGTGTCCGCCAAGGAAGACCTTGTTCCCCACCATCAACTACCGCAACGTGGCCGTGAGTGTGAGCTTCTCTGGGTGCCAAGCGGCGCTGCCCTTCACCTGCGACATGGTGCAGGACGGAACCACCGAACGGAATCCATGTGCCTTTTCGGATTGGAACTGTTTTGGATGAACATCGGATTGGAAGTCTTTCGCTGCTTTAATGGTTTGCCTTAAATAACACCATTACTTATAAATACTTCACTGCCAACCAGTACGAACCACCGCAGCGACCTCCAATCCCTACTAGGGATCGTACCGAACTCTCACAGACCTTACGGCGACCCTCCTCATTGCCACGGTGCTCGACACCTCGTCGGGTCCCCGAACCGATCGTTCGAACCGGTTCGGCTCCCGTCGTCTACCGAAGGCGGCGGATCCGACCGGAGCGTGAGCGACGCTACGCGTCCAGGACGCCATGGTCTCGCATAGCGTGGTCACGCCAGCAGACACCACAACGGAGTTCGAGGTCCTGTTCCCTTGCTGTTTGCCCGACCAAGGCTGGACCACCACGCGAGCATGGGAATGGGGTTCTGAGCATGGGGAAGGGAGGGCGATCGATTTGATGACGCGCGTTTTTTTTTCGCAGATCATGTGTCTCGATGATTTCTGATGACTCATGTCTCCGTCGCATCCCTTGGTTTCTGATGACACGCATGCCGCATTCAACAAACGCACCCTGTTCGGACATGCCCCCCCCAAAAAAGGGGCACCCTGTTCCGACCTGTTCAGATACTCTCTCTCTCTCTCTCCGCAACAAACCTCCTCGTCGCGGAGCATTCCCAAACCTTTATCCACCGCCGCCGAACGTCGGACACCGACGTCCACCCCAACCCGAAGCCCCAACCTCCGAACCTCGCGCCCTCCGAACCTCGCATCCTCCGAACTCCTTCGGGCGGAAGCGGAGCGCAGAGCGCGGTGCGCAGCTCCGTCAGCCGAGGTGGCTTCGATTGGCTGGATTTGTTCAAAGCCAAGAACCCGCAATACATCGAGCTGTCGGATCGGATGATCATGGACTGGGCCGAGAAGAGCCGTGGTAGCGACGTGGGGAATAGGGACGGGCGGGGAGGGCGGAGGGCTGGTGGGGACGTATGGGGACGGGTATGCCGTGGTATGGGTGGAGGGTGGAGATCCGAGGATCAGGGTAGATCTTTGGTGGTGGTTCTTGGAGCTCAGTCTTGGGGATTCTTTTGCGCCACCAGCGAAGTCTGAAATGGGGAGAAGTAGTACGGTGGGGGCATGAAGATGTTTGAGACACTTGTGGAGGCTCTATATAGGAGCGAGGGTATGTTGGGAATACTTGAAAAACCTTATATATCGGAGGTTGGAACGAACCCGAATGAACTTCCAAGACTTGGTCAAACTTCCTGGTGCGTCGGATTGACCTGATCTACTTTGCAGGGGGTTTAGCTCTCATGCTGTGATGTCCTATATATAGCAGCCTACGGGGAGGATCTCCGGAGAGGCTCTGGCCCAAAATGGGTTGGTGTTCAGGCCTAAGGGACATGTATAAAAACATATATATGTAATTATATGTATACACATATATATATATATATACATAGCAAGCATTCATTGGGCCATTGAAATGTTTAAAACATGTAAATGGCTTCCGATTGGGTTTGGACCCGTGGTATTTGGGAATGGTATTTTGGTTCGAACTTGGATATGTCATATCACCGACCGTATGTTCTATTCGTCGCACGAGTTGCAGACTCCAATCACCTTTTCAGACGGTCAAGTTGCTGTGATTGGAGTGACTCAGAGCAACCATCCAATCACCTGTCAATCACTCCAATCACCTATCATCACACAGAGTTGCTGTGGCTTTGTGTTTTTTTTGCGCGATGATTGGGTTATCACTCCGACTAGTCTTTGGAGGGTATTCCAAACATCTGTGACATTTGCACAAAGATCACAAAGGCCACAGAACAAAACAACATAAAACAACCCTTCATGACTTCATGAGTTACACCTTGAAATGATAGTTCCAAGCACCAATTCGAACACCCAGGGGAGTTCACTATGACTTGAATTACTGTTCTTTGACCGCACCATCACCCCGGGGTCCTTCGCAAAAGACCGTTTGAGACCGAGACGAGGAGCGGCATCACCTGCCCCAAGCTGCCGGGCAGCAACGACAAGCCGGAGATGAAGTTCGGCATCCCGGAGATGGAGGATATGAGCATCCGGAGGACCCCCGGCGCAGGTTTCGGTCGCGCGTGTCGGAACGCGCAGGTTGTCGGTCGCTGCAGGCTGCCGCAGATAGGAGACGTAGGTTCGATATACCATCCACCATGGAGTTCGGGTGGGTTAATGGACCCCTTTGATGTATGTTCCTTCCAAGAACCATTCCAAACTGGGCGGTGCTTCTATGTTTTGCATGACAATAAACATCCCGTTGCCTGTCGTGCGCGGGCGAGCAGGATGATTTCATCGATGGCTCCTTTGCAGAAGCGAAATTACATCATCATGGAGATGCGGTCGAACCTCATCAAGGACAGCTGTGATAGCTTAGCTGTGGAAGGTATCCAGAGGGGGGGTGAAGGGGAGGTTGAAAGGGAAGGCATATCATTTGGATTCAATTGGTATCTTTGGTCGAGTTCTAGACATGGGACTGCTCTGTCCTGGGCAAAGACCAGACCGTCTTTGCAGTGTGTTCAGACCGTCTTCGGTTCATTCTTAGACCGTCTTGGGGATGATGTGAATGGTGACAGGTCCGACAGGTGATGGTTGCAGGTGATGGAAAGAGCAACCCTCTGTGTGGCCGGACCGTTGGATGAGCAACGAGTCGGGAGGTGTATGTCATGTGTAGGTCCGGACGCAAAAAAACTGACGCAACGACAACGATCTTGATGACATTCTTTACCGCAAGACATAAATTGGACGTGGAACAACTAATGGACCTTAATGGGTGTTTGACCAAAGGCCGAAGCATCAGTTCGTACAATGCTACCACACTGTGCAGAGTTTGCAGCACAGGCAAAGGGAGCGTTCACTCACTCCCATGTAGATGAATTTTCTGTGGACGGCGGAACTGTGTTCAATCTTTAAGTTTAGCTGTAACCTATTCAATCATTTCAATATCCCCTGAAAGTCTTCCTGATATGTAGGGACTTCCATGGCCAGAAACAAACCATAATCATCCATAATCCAAATAAACGTCATATACTTATGTAAGGCTCCAGTCGTACCTTCTGAGAAGGTGGGACTGGGGTGGGTGCCACAAAAACAAGTCCAAATACCTTCTGAGGAGGTACAACTGCAGCCCTCGGGATACTTACCGTGGTTTCAGAATAGATGGCACAACCCCCAAGATGTGTTTTATATAGGTGCCCATCAAAACCACCAAACTTGGGGATGATGCCATCTACTCTGAAATCACTGTATTTGTTTTGTTCAGAGGACTATGGCATGACAGTCGGTCCCATGTTTTCTTCCCGAAACCATTGGAGTTGCCACAGGAGTTGCGCACCGACGGCGTCGCCCGGTTCTTCGACAGTTCCTTCAAGAGACTGGGGCGAAACGAAATGGGACCCAAGGGTGGCCGAAGAGCACCAAGAGAGGTAGCCAGTGACCTGAACGAACGGACCCTACTGGCCCTACTGGGGTACCGGATGGGATAGTCGCACGTTCGGGTCATGAAATATATGGACCCCATCTGTCTAGGACATCTTGGGGTGCCAGTGCCATCATCTTTGAAACCCGTCCGACAAAGTCGGAAGGTAGGACATCAGCGAACGATGACATTGAGAACTGAACCATATTTACCGCGAACGCTTGAAGGCTTGCAGTTTCTTTGTAGTTCAAGGATGTTCAAGGAATTCAGTATCTATATCAGTGCATATGGTGCCATATGGTACCGACAACCGCCACCCTTGTTTTGGAGCCCAAACATGTTATTTATTCCTGTCAAAACAGAGTCAATTCCAGGTGTCAACCGTTGGACATGCGAGCCCCACGTCCTGGAATCACATCTTGTCCCTCCAGCTTGTTTGACTGAACTTGGCTTTCTGAGTCTCCCGCAAACGCCATGACCCACGCTTTCGTGTCCATCGCGCGAACACCGGCGGCGGCACATATAACACCGTACATGCATCCGCACGAGACGAGCCTCGGTACCTTTCGCAGCTCGAGGAAGAGGGCGTTCGTGGTGATGGGCGATCCTAGCATCGAGTTCAAGAAGAAGTCCCAGGAGGGTCGTCGGGACCTGTCTGAAACTCCGTCCGACGGATGGTCGAGACCAGGTCAAGAACGCGGGGTTGACGGAGGAAAACAGGGAAGAAGAAACAAGAAGAAAGAAAGTGGTGCGACCGAACAGCTTCAACAAAAAGGAAGGGTCGGGGACTGGTTCCACTTCTCATGAATTGGATGGGTTCCACTTCATGGTTTCCCCTTGGCATGAAGTCGAGATAAATTATCTACATATTCTACAATATTCTAAAATAAGCGTTGGTTTACATATGTTTACATCCATAATTATCCTTCATTTTGCCTCAACCCCGCCAATTTGATTTGTTTGCGTGTCAATGTTTTTCCTCCAGCCTTTTGCAAGGAGCTGCTTCTGAAAGATAAGCAGGAGCAAATTGATGCGCAGTTCAAGAAAGAGAAGGAAGAGGCGGCACGGATCGGGAAGAGCCGGGCACGGAGAGAGAAAGTCCCAGTCGCCCCGACCAGCGGTTTACACCTCCACCGCCGGGTCTACGACGGGATCTCTTTGGGCAGATGGTTTGGGAGACCAGCGATCCAATGAGGGTGTTGGCGAGAGAGAGAGATAGAGAGCGGGTGTTGGAGGCTGAACTGGCACCACTGTTGGTCGACGGTTTTTTGGGGGGTCGACGGTTGTGAGCGCTTCGCTGTCGACAACTGGGTAGAAAGACATCGGAAGAAGCCGCGGTGGACTTCAGTCTTTTCGCCCAGACGCTCCAAACGGCTCTTGGTCCCTCAAAACCCTAGGGATTTCAGGGTCCGGAGCCCTACTTAGGAGGGTCCATGAGCGTCTTTCCGGAAGAACTCCCGTAAGCGAGGGCCCCGAAAGCATCCAGAAGCGCGAACACTCACGAGATTCTGGGCATTCGTGGGGCCCCCCTGGGCAGGCTAGCGGTGTGAGCGCGTCGGAGGGTGAGACTCGAGCGAGCTCAAGGAATCTTTCATGGCTCAATTTGATGCATTTTCGCAGAGTCAGTGGGCTTGATCTGAGCAATGGAGATTAGAACGCTCTCAGGTGTCCTCGTCACCCAGCTTCATGAGGAGGAATTGGGCTGCATGGTGGAGAGTGGAAAATCTTGTGGTGATTTAAAGCGGCTCCTGGCCAGTCGGGTTGGATATTCCAGGTTTCGACAGCGACTTTTGGGTGAAGATATGGGCGAATTGCAGGATGAAATGCCTGTAAGACAGATACCTAGTGTGCAGTTGGTAATCCTCGGCTTTTCTGCACCCGAGGAAACCGTTTGGGATCAACTGCTCCTTGCCTGTCGGGAGAATCAAGCTCTTGAAGTTGCAAACTTGCTAAAGACACCACTGAATCCAGATGGGAGATGTGCACACAGGGACTCTCCACCGATTTGGCATGCAGCACAACAGGGCCACTTGGAAGTGGTGAGATTGTTGATCGAGGCTGGAGCTGACATGAATGCGAAAGACGCACAATTTTATGGGGACACAGCGTTGTTAGTTGCAGCGAGGGTGGGCCGCTTGGAAGCGGTGCGTTTGTTGGTCGAGGCTGGGGCTGACATGAATGCGGCAAACGCACGTGGGGCAACA